ACAGTACAAACATTTATGCAAGGAGGCTTTTTATTAGTTTTTGGTATGAATTAAAATAATGATTGGGCAGGGGAGAAAGGGGGAGATAATGCGTATATGTGGAGACTGCTTAAAGGAAGCATCGAGTCCATGTGACCGTGCAGGCAGCACAGAAACTAGAGCCCTCCCAGCAAAAATTGTATCCAAGGGGATCACAGTCCTTGTGTCTCCCAACGAGGTCAGCTTCCCTTCCCTCCTCTCAGCAAATCCCCTGTAAGCATCCACTATGCCCCAGGCCTTGCTCCAGATGCAGGAGCTCCACTAAGGGCCAGATCCCCACCCTGGCATCGCTCACCTCGAACAGGAGGACAGACAATACTCAACGATTTGTAAGGAAAATAACTGGTACATTAGAAAGTGGTAATGAATTAAGGAACACCAGGGAGGAACACAAACCCTTAGGCGGTCTCAAGATTATTGGTGATTTTTGATTAGTTTATCTTTAAAAATACCCCGTTGAGTTATTGCATACCTCTTAAGTTTTAAATTCACAGTTAAAAGATGAAATTGATGCGCTAACATTAAATATGTTTTTATATATAGACAAAGTCTTTAATCCAGACAAAAATATTCTTTGGAGACTTAAGTTGCAACAGGAGGGTCACGTATTTAATTTAAGAAAGGACTTCCTGGGCATTAGGTCATAAAACATTTAAAGTATGATGCACAGAGGGATTTGGAAACCTACTTGAGGGTTCCTAAGAAACAGGTAAAAATGGATGTTTTCTACCACTGTGGGGTAAGCTTCACAGTTCTGCTTGGAGTTGAGGGAATGGGCATCGTGGCTGCCCAAGGCCAGTCCTGAGCCCGTTAGCCTGTTTGTTAGGCTTGTGGGCTCTTCCCAGAAGCCCAGTCAGTGCAGGGCCCCAAGTGGGTGACGCTTCTTGGACATCGGCTGTGCCCTCAGTGGGAGGAGACCCTTCAGGCAGCACGTCTTTTTAAGTCATTAAAATAGGTCCAGCAGGTCGCTAAAGGCCTGGCTGCCTGTCTGCTCCCCAGGCCCACCACGTGCAGCCCGAATCCTGGCCTCCCACTGCACCCCAGGAGCCTTCTGTGAGCTTTGATCCCTCTAACTCTCATCTCCCGTGCTTCCTTGTCATCAGGAAGTCTGTGTCCTTCTCACTGCCCCAGGGCTGCTGGACAAGGGGGGCCGGGCGGGTAGACTCAGTCAACCATGTCCCTGTTTGGCTTCCTATGACTTTATTATCGACTACACCTAATCTTTTCTTCCTGTCCACACAGGTGGTGGTCACTTCTGCCCTGTGTGTCTGGCCTGCTCTGACCCAGACTCCCCTTATCTTTGGGGCACAGGAAATGATTTTACTGGATCCAGGGAATCTTTTAGTAATAAGAACAAAAATTCTAATCGGTGTGCCCAGTAAAAGGAAACTGAGTTCGTTCACAGCGTCTGTCTCTTCCTTGATACACCAAAAAATCCCCTGGAGGCGGATGAGTGGCGTGAGCACTATCTTCAGATAAAGGAGACACGAATTTGGTGTAGGGCTATGGGAAAATGATAATTACTTGCCCCACCTTCTCCCTGGCTTAGCCATGTGTCTGGAGAATGACTCTTTTCCCCGAGACGGTTGTTTTGCTGAATCTTCCCAATACTATTCCATTGCCTTTATTTTGCAGTTTTTTTCCCTATGCATGCTGTGTGGATTGGAATCTGTCTCTACTGGCAAACATGTATTCATTCACAGCCACTGATTGAGCTCCTGTTACATAACAAGCACCGTTCTAGGTGCTAAAGATACAGTGAAGAACCGAACGCACAGAACTCCTGCCTGCATGGCGCTTATGCTCTGTGGGAGAAACGAGTGAGTAGGAGAGGTAAGCAGCTTCGCCCCACCCGGGTGTGGGCGGTCCCAGGGTTCCCGGCCAAACCCTGCCTGGCCTCATGTAGTGAAACAGACTGGAATCAGAAGTGAAAACTCTAAAACCCCGGAGCAACGCCCTTGTGTCATCGTTACTGTTTCATTCACGGCTCTAGTGCGCAGAACTGTAATTTCTGGTGCTTTTGATTGGCGTTTCCTTGACGGTCGATGATGCGAGCATCTTTCCATGTGCCTGTTGGCCATCTGTATGTCTTCTCTGGAGAAATGTCTATTCAAGTTCTCTGTCCATTTTTTAATTGGGCTGTTTGTCTAATTATTGTTGAATGATATCCAGGTTCTCTTTCAATATATAAAAATGTTTTGCTACCATCAAATGTTTTCAAGCTCTCTTCACACCGTCTTCTATATGAGCATAAGGGACTAGGGAATAATGATCTCTAAGTTGGGACAAACAGAGCTTTGGTTCCCTTCAACCCTGTAATTATGCCTGTGAATCTGTGACTGACATAATGAGAGTATTCAATGAGCCTGATTTTCTAGTTTGCCTTCCTTTGGAATGGCATGCCTGATTCCCCAAAACTATTTATGAAATTCTCCCCAAGAATTCTGACATTCTGAGTCTTTGGTTTGGAAGTAGATTCAGATGTAAAGGAAAAGGTGCGTGATAAACTCTGATACTGTTAATTTATTTCTTCCGCAAATGAGCTGATCTTCCAACACAGCTCATACAATTCTCAAACTGTACAGAAAATAATTTCCAAACTATAATTTAGAACTATTTGAGTGAGCAGTGGCTGAACTGCTAGAAAAAATGTACCATCCAACTTTGCCTTAAATCTTTTCTAAATCAGGTCAGTATAAATAGCAAAAAAGAATGCAAAGTATAAAACATATCTTTTGCCTTATGTACTAAGGGATTTCTAAAAAATGGCTCATACCTTTGTTTATATTGACTCCCATGTTTTTGTCACAGAATTCTTGTATCTCATAACTACACTTTCTCCATCCACAAAGGTCTATTCAGAATTACAATCAGCCATTGCAGCCCTTGAACTTAGGGTGTGTTCTTGATGTGGAAGCCAGTTTTCTCAAGGGTTGACTCACACTGCCTTTTTCACAAAGGGAGATTTCTGAGATGTGTTCAGAATGAACGTTCCATAGAAAAAGAATTTCAAATTTTAACAGATCTATTACGTACTGACACCCCCCACACCTACCCCCTCACACACATACATCTTGATAACCATTCTATGATTACTTAGCTCACCGTTACCCACAGGTGACCTTTTTGTTAGCAAAGAGAAAAGCAGCTTTTGGTTCCCAAATCTTCTCAAGTCTTGTTTCATAGCTTTCTTACCAGGTACAGAAACGCCCGTGAACCAGGGGGCCCTTTGTCAGGACATCTTTGCTTAATCTTTCTGGACCTGGGATCTCCAAGGTGGCCACCTGGTCCTGGCCTCTTCCAGATGCCCACATGGCCCACCTGGCCCTTGCTTCCCTCCAAAGTCTGGGACCACCACCTACCTCTTCTTCAAAATCCATCTTCCAGGTAAGATGCGTGGTCAGATATGCTTTCTGTGGACTGGATAAGTGCAAGAAACATAACAGCACAGCTGTTACGAAGAACGAGAAAACTCGCCGTGCACCTACGTAAAAAATGTCCAGGATCTACATGTAAGATCAGGCAGGTCCAGAATAAGTTGTATGGTCTGCTGGTACAAAGAGGAGTAGAGATCCATACATGCTGATGTGTACATAGAACAGCTCTGGAGGGGCTGAGAGAAACTAGTGTCAGCTGCCCCGAAGGCGGGAGGGCCCCGACACAGGGAAGAAAACGTGCTTTACACTTCCTAGTGAGTGAGTTTTAAAAGAAGTAAATTGAAGTGATGCTGGAGCTAGAATCCAGGGGCAGCAGAAGGGAGCTGCGTCGGCAGACATGTTAACGCAACCTTTACGGGTCACCGCGCAGTGTCCTTCAGACCCGCTGCCCCAAGGCCGCCCGCCTCGTGAAGCCCTGCCTGCTGGTTCCCTGTCAGGTGGGCCTCTGGGTGAGGCTCCCAGTGTCTCCCACCAGGCGGCCCCTCCTCGGGTGAAAAACCTTTGTATAATGGGAGAAGAGACCACCCTCTTCCCAAGCAAGCCACATGCCGACTTCTGGTACGTAGACTGGATTTGCCAGACTTCTGTGTCCTGCCCCATCTCTCTGGCTCTCTTGCAGAATACCCGAAAGGCACCTCCAGGCTGTGAGCATCTGCGGCGTGGTGGGATGGCTTGTGAGGACACGTTATTGCTGGCTGTCCCACGTGTCTGGGTGTGTTCTGCGGGCGCTGTAGTGAATGATGCTTGTCCACGTCTCTTGGTGCCCACGGGCCTCCCTCTGTGGGGTCTCCACCGGGGAGGTACCCGAGGGTTCCAGGGCGGTGGACACGGCCCAATCGGAGCCCTCTGAAGGTAGGGACCCTGCCTTCGCACACCAGCCTGCCCATCACCTGGCACACACCTGGTGCTAAGTACCACTCCCCAAGGGGGTTCTGTTTGCACCTCAACCAATTACAGGTACCAAGTTACTGGTCAAGCCTGCTTCTCTGAATACCAATAAGACAGTCTATTTTTAGGCCAAAAGGAATAGTGTCCAGTACCTTTGATAGGGAAAGATGTACAAGGACAGCAATCTAGCCCTGGGGGGCTCCCCTCTGTCCCTCCCCCCAACACAAACAACAAAAAAACACTCCGGTGGTTTCCCGCTCTGCCGAGCACGGGGTCCCAAGGTTCACTCCCTGAACTCCCCCCCCACTCGCCTACTCGCTTGCAGTGCACGGAGGAATGTTACAGATATGGAAGCAGAAAGATATATGTTTTTCTCCCTTTGCCTTTGTTCGGGGCTCAGACTTTTGGGAGGTTGCTCCCCTCTGAGCCCACCAGTGTGAAATAAAGCCTCGACACTCCAAGACCTCCGAGGGCCGCTTGGTTCTTCCGTCAGCGATCCAGTCCAGGTTTTCCAGTATTTTCCATAACACCTTTTGCCCACAGCCTATCTCAGTAGAGCGGATTAATGTGCTCGTTCCTGCTTAGTGTCCTCAAAACCTATAAATGTCATTGTTGGGCCGCCCCCCTCCACTCCTTCGTCAGACCTGCTTTCCTGCAGGGAGAACTGGGACGCCTGAGGGTGCCTGAAACATGAAGGCCCACTTTCTTTGTGCTGTTCTCCTCTGTCTGGTCCCAATGAACTCAGGTAACTGTCTCGTGCTACAGTGGAAGGCTGCTCCTGGCTGTCGTGCAGGATCCTGCAGAGCACGGGGCAGGTGTGGGGCTGGGGTCTGTGTGCTGGAAGTGGGTGCAGCGGCCCCCGGGGCTCAGCTTCAGACCACCTGTAGCTGCCCAGGGGAGAGTGCTTTAAAAGCTAGATATGAGTTATCAGGGTAACAGCCCAAGGCAGAAAGGCATCTTTGCTCTGATACAAACAGGAAGAATTCCCAACACAGCAAGAAAAGCTTTCAGAGGGAAATCACAGTCCTAGGATGTCAGACTGGAAGGGGCCAGGGGTCTCGTGGTGGTCTGCTGTGTCCCTGCCAACCAGTCACCGAGCTCCTCACACTTAGAGTCGTACCCCTCCGGCCTCACACAGGGCCGGGCTTACAGACAAGAAAACAGGCATGATCAGTTCAACGAATCGCCCAAGGAGAAACAGTTACTGGAAGAATTGAGATGGGACTTGGGCCTCTACAGCCCTGGGGTGGCTCTCCTGCCCGGTTAGAGGCGAGGCCCGTCCCATCGCTGTCCCCCCAGCCAGGACAGCCGAATGAGATGGGGACACAATGCAGCTGAGACCTTGCTCAAGGTTGTCTTTTAAATCTTGCAAGACCAACGCTATGGGTATTTTGTGGGGTTTTTGGTTTTATTAAGTCATGAAAGATGGCATGTGCTGACCCGGCGTAAGACCTTTCTTTCAACCATCTCATTCCCAAATAGAAAGCTTTTTAAAAAACTGAGATATAATTGACATATAACATTATATTAGTTTCAGATGTATAATGTAATGATTCCAATTTTGTATATCTTGCAACAGGATCACAGTAAGTCTAGTAAAGATCCATCACCACAGAGTTACAATTTTTTTCTTGTGACAAAAAATGCTTTCTTTATGGGTACGTTAGGTGGTCATTCATGTCAGGGTGAAGAGGACGGTTTTCTTCCTTTCTGTTGTAGTATATAAAACTGAGAATTGGGCCACAAGCTGAGAATCAGGATGCTTTCCAATTTCCTCAGCCACCAGCCCCACGCTCCTATTCGCTCTGTCCTGCAAACCCCTTGTGCCTCCCCTGAGGCATAACTCACACCCACTACCAGGAAGGTCGAGAACCCTCTCATAACATACTAAGAGAGAATAAAATATACACTCTTGCAAATATTCTAGGGTGCCCATTATTGTTCCTATTTTAAAGCTAAGGAACAGAAGCCCAGTTCCACTGGAACTTACCACCTCGTAACTGGAACTTCACTTTGCAAGAATATAACACACATTTGGAGTTGAGCTCTGGGCTGGGGCCACCCTTTATTCTCTGTGAGACATGAATTCAATACAATTCTGTTCTACTGTATCAACAGGGGATGTTCCACCTGTAATGCGAAATATCATCTGCCTTATGCAACACGGAACCTGCAGACTTTTCTTTTGCTTTTCTGGTGAGAAAAAAGGTGAAACCTGCTCCCACCCCTGGAATAGGTGCTGTATACCAAACACAGAGGAAGAAAGAAAAGATAAGCCAGAGACCTGAAATGGATGCTTCCGGAAGACGGAAGGGATGGGGCTTGGGAGAATGGCAGCAGATTGCAGGTACACAATACTTATTGAATGAATCCAGTACCCAGACTGCAGGTCTGAAGAAAGAATTGTCCTAAAGGCTTGTTTACTTTGCCTTTTCCTGTTTTTTTTTATTAAAGAGTCTCCAAATGTTGTAATTGCCTGCCTCCTTTCCTAGTCCCCAGGGGGTCTCTACCCACCCACAGATGGGGGTGAACTAGACACCAACCTTCAAACTGATCGCATTCAGAGGGACAGAAAAGCAGCCAGTCTATGGACCTCGCTTCCACCAAATGACATCCTTCGCCTCATCGAACTCAACACCAGCCTCATCCTGCTTATTCCCCCACTGCCAAGGGCCTCCCCACATAATAACCACAATACAACACATATAAATAAGATCTTGTTGTTTTCAAACATTTACTTTTAGGTTATCTCAACTGATTGACACAACAGTCTTTGGACTGTGTATAAGCAGTTTCATTTTAGGGATGGAAGGGAAATGAAAATCAGAAGGTTAAGCAAATTGCCCCCATTATCAATTCCTAAATGGGATTCTTGACATGCCTAATCAATGAAGCGCCCGTTGCTCTGTGCTACCTCTGAAGACCATATCATCTCTGAGCAACTAGAATGAAATAAGGGCTCCTGTTTGTGTAGATTCCTGAGCTCATAACCTGGTGCCCTTTGCTGGGTCCTGTTCAAACATGTTATCCACAGCCTATCTTTGAGCCAGTCATCCAAAGAGTAGTGAGTATCAATTTACAGGTAAGGAATGTAAAAAAAAAAAACAAAAAACACAGTAAAAGCGAATGTGCTGATGTATGAAACCACCTGCCAAGCTTTCTCTAGGCTAACAGCTCGATAAGACACCTTGTTTTGGTATTTCTGGTTGAATTCAGTTTGCTCAAGAATAAGCTGTGCTTACTTTAAGAGTCACCTAGAAAATACACCTTTGGGTTCCGGTCTGGTTGTAACACCCTGGGCCTCTCCCCAGGCTCTTCTAAACTCATTCCTGCTTTTTATTTTCTATTGTCAGACAGACTAGTGGGGCTGCGGGGAGTGGAACCTCTCTCGGCCACCGGCCTCTCTATGCAGCCCTCTCTCCCCTCCTTCCAGGGCTGGGGACCTGGTACGAACAATGTCTGCCTGGGAGGGGGGCTAGGGCTCCCCGCTTAAAAGGTGGTTGAGTTGCACATGGTCCTATGAAGCCCAGGCAAGGTTGCAAGAGGAGCGAAGCCCCCGTGTGCGGACGGTTTCCCCAAGCGGAGGCTCCCCCGCCCGGCGGGCAGCCCGTGCGTACGCGCACTGGCCACCAGAGGGCGCGCCGCCCCCTTTGGCGCCGCAAACTATTTTGATTGCTGTGCATTGATTGGGAAGCTGGTCCAATTGGCCAACGAAAGTAGCTGCTGGGAATCAAAGCCCGGCTGGCAGCAAAGAAGCCTGAATGACCGACACGTCTGCTGGGCCCGGTGGCGGGAAAGAGCCACGGTGACGCAGGGCCCCGGGCGTTTGGGCGCGGTGCTCGGCACTGGGTGCGGTGCGCTCACAGGAGGGCATGGCCGAGGGAACCGGAACACCTGACGCTTCTCTTCCTGGCGGTCACGGTGCTGTCACAGCAGGAACCTGCAGAAGCACGGGCGGTGGGCAGTGACCAGGCAAACTTACATCCCCGAGCCAGGTGGCCCCAGTGAGTTACATACACATCATGCCCCAGGCACCAGCTGTGGGGGCTGACTCCCTTCTCTGGGAGGGTCCTCGTCCGTCCTCCTAGAGGCACAGGGACCTGCCCACGCCTGCAGAGCTGACAGCCACGGCCCCAGAAGGTCAGGCACCCCGGAGCGCCCTCCGGGGGGTCCCCTCAGCCACCGCTCTTCTGAGGGCCTGGCCTCCTGCCGCTGTCACCTCCACCCAGCAGGGATGTCCCCTCTCCAGAAGCACGGAGAGGGGCTGTGGTGGACCTCCACGTCCCTCCCCTTCACCCAGGCCCTGCAGACTCCCTAACCCCCCTGCATCAGACCTTTCAGGCACACACAGAATGTTTGACTGACCCTTCTGGAAATCTCCTTAGAGAAGTGCAAGAAAACTGAAGTCCAGTGAATTAGTACTTTCCCCGATTCCAGAAGGAAAGCCCCTAACTTCCCTTCCCCCAGAATCACCAGCGTCTGAGCTGCTGGCCTGGGTCTGGCACTCAAGACACGTTTGCAATTGGAGTTCAAGGTTAGACAGGAAGGAAGAAGGTTTTTGCCGAAAAAGTAAAAGATGAAGATGTGGGAATGGATGTTGGTTAACTGGCTGGGGACGCCTTTCACGGTGTGCCCGCACATCCAGTCATCATCCTGTAGCTTAACCTCTCACAGTTCTACCAATTACACTGCCACAAAGCAGGAAAAAGTTTTTTAAAATCCAAACAACACAAAATAGAGAAAACACAATCTAATTACTAGAAAAAGGAGGGAAGAAAGGCAGAGGGGAGGGAGATTTTTTTTTTTGACAACTGGGGCTCAAGAGAGGAAGCAGGCAAGCCTTAGGGAAGCACCTTTGGGCTCAATATGGAGAAAAGTGAAATAATGTTCACTGCAGCGGAAAACGGAATGGGGCCCCGTTAGAAGCAGCGAGTTTGCCAACACTGCAAGTTTTCACGAGGACAGAGGAGGCGGCGTATCTAAGACATGTGTTACGTGACCGGGAAGATCCTTTTAAATCTTGAAATTCTGTTACCGTAGATAATAGAGCAAGAAGATAGTCATTTAAGCACGTGAATCAGCCGCCCTAGAAAACAGGGCTTTGACCACATCAGTTTTGGTGCTGTTGCCCCGTACAGAGAGAAGACCCCCGCACCTGCCCGGTGCCCCCTCACTGGTAGTTGAGAATGGGACGGTCAGTCCCGACAAGATAGGGACCCCAGCTTGAGCTCTTCTTCTGTGGAAGATGAGGGTTGCTTCACCTCTGTTACCTTCTTCCCCATGAACCTTCAATGCATGTGTCATTGTGGGGCTTTGTAGCAAGGACTGGTGACACCTGCCTGGCCAGGAGGAAGGGTTCCCTGCAAGGAAATTCCCCTGGCAGGAGAGGGTGGCCCTATGACCTGGACATGCTGCTGCCTGTCAGAAAGAGACTTCTGATGTGGAGAGACACCCCACACCCTGACCACCGCATCTCGTCAGAGGCAGAGGCTGAGAGACTGCCCGCCAGGCACAGCATGCATGCGGGCACCACACGGTGGTGGAGATAGCACCCGGTAAGGCAGATCATGACAGACACAGCAGGGCGACAGAGGGAAACAGAGGCAGAGAGCAAGCGAGAGGGCACTGAGCTCCATCCATCGGACAGGGGAAAGCGACTGGAAAAAGAGCCGTTGGGGGTGGTCATAGCCAGACAGGCCACTCACACAGACCGACATGAAGGAAGAAAGCATCACGGGCTCTCCATGTGGCTTTGCAGGGCGTCTGCAGGCTGCTATCCGGAGCTTGCCCATCTCCCCAGGGAAGAGGCAAATACCCAGATTCAGTAAAGCGAGACCTTCAGTGGGAATGTCAGGGAATTGGGCAAGGCAGCCCGTGACACAGAGCGCCCTCATCTTCAAGAAATTCCAGTTCTGAAGAAGTTACAGGGAACTGATTGGGCAGAGATGCAGCTTGCCCCTCTGAAGAGCAGTGCACCCTGTCCCTGTCCCGGCCCTCCCAGGGGTCTCTCCTGGGAAGGGAGCCGTGTGCTCATAACCACATGACCATGGCGGTGGTCCCCTAAGAGTCAGCAAGTGGGAGAGCGAGAGGACTTCCAGGACTGAACCCATGGCTTTTTTAGAACATCATCTCACAAGTGGCTTCCAGCACTTCTGCCATCTTCTAATTGCTGGGAACGAGGCCAGCCCCAGACCACGAAAAGGGGATAACACAGCGAGAGCAGGGGCACCGGAGCCCGGCTCAGGGACCACCTGCACGCTCATCATCCTGCAAATGTCTGCCTGGGGTCGGCCAGCCAGGGCCCGCTGGCTACATCCAGTGGCTGCCTCTTTTTGTAAATAACATTTACAGTAACAGAGCCGTGAGCGTTCGCTCGCATACTGTTTTTGACTGTGTTTGCTGAGTAGCTGGAAGAGAGATCATATGACCAGTAATGCCTGAAAGTGTTTATTGTCTAGTCATTCACAGGAAAGCTTTCCTGGTTTCTGATGTATGCAATCATTAACACATTTTTTCAAAATACGGATGAGGAAATTGAGCTAGAGGTGCCAAATCTGTCATTTGATGGCACTTCTTTGGTGCTCCATTACCGTGAATTTCCCAGCGGGCACCCCAAGGGGCAGTTACCTGCCAAGCGTCCAAGGTGACACAACTCTGTGGGGGGAGGGAAGGCGTCAGCTCCCTGGACTCCCATTCACCCCCCACCGCAGGCAGCCATTTGGCTTCCCATTGGGAAACCTGGCTGCCAAAACCTTTGACCCAAAGGTGGATTTGGGGTACGGTTATAATGACCTCAAGTACTACGGTGGGTGGTTAGCATCGTCTGTGAGCCTGACGGACTTGGGCACCAAACCTGAATTCCATCCAATCTGCTTCCTTTCTCGTAGCCTCTGCTTCCTCATGCTTAAAATCCAGATCTTAAGCCTCACACCCTTGTGTCCCCAAAACGCATCAAAGTGTCAGTTACAGTGTTGGGTACATTACGGCTCAATGGATGCCGGTCATTGTGTGTAAAACATTGGACGGTTTCCCCGTTGTATTGCAGCAAGAGCCACTGGGTTTATTACTTCAAGAACCAGTTCTGATTAAATAATAGTGACAGAAGCCTTTTGTTTTAGATGATTTCCTGGGCCCCCCCCCCTCGCCTTCTCTCCCCCGGCCCCGGCCCCCGCTCCCAGTGGGCTGGCCTGGGGCCTTGGGGATGGTTTTGTAGGAACCCCCTACGCCTCACAGCTCCCCGAGGATGCCGTCAGCAGGCTGTGGGGGGCTGGCAGCAGGGGTCTCTGGGGCTGAGTGTGAAATGCGGCCAAGGAACTTGATCAGAGCGAAGAAGATACACAGGAAGGAAGGCGTCACGTGACCTCCTTCGGCTCAAAATGAAAACATGGCTGTCATACAGGCAGGAGGGCAGGAGGGGAGCCTCATACACATTTTCAATGTTCTTCCTCTTGTCCTGCTCTCGCCCTCAGGCC